TCTTAGCTAATCTTAACATATGATAAATATATATAAATTAATATAATATATGCATATTCGTTCATTTCTGCATCAGGAACTGTTGCAGTATATCTTTTTGAGCCGCACCATGAACAGCCTCGAGCCTCACGGTAGTAGCCATGAAGCTCTTCCAGTTTGGGCAAGTTGCAGAGGGCTCGAAGCATCATGGTATCCAGGATGTAAAACCTCGCACCCCGGTGGATTTTTGGGGCTGCCATTTATCAACTTGGAGTTGGTTGACCTTTTTTTTATTTTTTGTTGGGGGAAAACACCACAAATGACTCATCCATTTTTTCTTTATAATACTTTTTTCAGAGTTCCGTTGCCATGTTGGATTATACCATGTTAGACCCTAAGTGGACAGGCCCATCTATTTTTTTCGATCTGAGTCATGACTCAGCCCTCAACTTATTGCTTCCAAGAAACCCCCACAAGCGAACTTGCTGCAATTGCTGGCAGCTGTTGAAGATCCGGAGTAGGGCTTCCTGAAATATCTTGGCCCCGTATGGCCCCGTGGGAAATATAATTCCTGGCTATTTCACGGCTGCAAATACAATCTAAAATCTTTACGTAGAGTGCTTTACATGAGCTATTGAAATGGATCTCGTGGTTGGCAAAAATCTCCTCATTGAAAATGCAAGAAACCACCAACGCTGATCATGCGATTCTGATGCTTCGAAGTCGGGTTGCGTATGAAAATAGGGCAATATTATGATATGTGATATATGTGTATATAATATAATTATATATAGTAATACAGAATCATATATATATATATAATCATATTATATATATAATATAAATATATCATATGAATACGAATCATTTTGAAGCTTCTTGAAATGATTCTGTTGCCATGTGTAGTGATGCAAGTGCTCCCGCTGCTTCCATCTCTGTTCAAGGAACGTTGAAGAGCTGAACTTCTGGAAGCAACATGCCCAGGCTGTTGAAGCTGATTGCAGGAGGGAACACCTGAGGTGAACTGAAGCCAGGAGGGGTTTCAGCCTGTCAAAAATGTGCTGTGAAGAAATGCTGATAAGTGCTCAGCGCTCCTTTTTTTTTTTTGAAAAACAGCGTTTCTGCAGTCTTTCGAAGAGGACAAAACTAATCACTTTTGATTGCCACAAAAAAGGAGGACAGCTGTCTGCATGCTGCAGGCGAGAGGCTTCAAGCATCTTCAATGTCTTCAGCCCTGGGATTGCCTGGACACTTACACCAAAGAGTTCAGGTAACTGTGGAGGTTTCTTGAAATGGGGGTACCCCATGGTACCCCCAAATCATTTTTTTTAATAAAGGATTTTCCATTATAAAACATCCAGCTATTGGGGTATCCCCGTATCCTCATTTATGGAATCCCCCATGTGCGGAGCATCCATGCACCCATGTATTACCCCACCACATATTCTTTTCTCTTCTGAGTAGCTTGTCCAAAGACTGGACCCATACGGAACCATCTTGTTTTGTAGCGTTTTGAAGTGGGGCGAGCTCCCCCTGCTCCCGTCCATTCCTTGATATTTCTTGACATCAACCCTCCAGGTGGCCTGAAGATCTTGCAGCGTGGGAAGCTGCAACACCAACGTCTCCAGCGAGACCCGCCCGTCCATCCCGTCCGACATGGCGAGGGCCGAGAGAGGAAGACCCAGCAACTCCAAGCGTCGCAAGCTTGGCGCCAAAGCCAGGGCATCGCCAGAGAGGCAACTGCAACTGGCACTACCTGGAGGTTTTTGAAAGGGATATGGCCCCTTTTCACCATGGTTTTTGCATGGTTCTACCATTAATATTAAGACACAACACAGCAATACCAAACAGCTGGATGAGTTTCGGGTCCAACATTTTAGGAACCCCCCACCTAGATGTGTCAGATTGGTGTCTATCACAAGTTCTTCTACTTGATTCTGCATCAGCAAGATTGCACTGAACCCATCGTTGCTGATACGCCGGCTTCGCAAGACCAACCGGCGCAAACGCCCAGGTGGTACACGTTTGAGTGCAAAGATCAAATCCATATCTCCAGGTTCTATGTGACCCTCCAATGGTCGCCACTGAGAAAAATCCACTGCGTGCCACACATCAGACACATAAGCATGATCGAAGCTTTGTCGACAGCTAGCTGCACAAATCTGCAGGCTTCGGTGACCGAGGTACGGAGCAAAACCCAGAAAGACTGATGGCTCCAAAATCATCAGGATTCAGCTTTGAAGTTTGACCTTTTAATGGCTGCATTGGCCACATCTGGCATGTCTGATATGTCTGGACACTCAAAATGCTCTGCAACAATTATGCTATGTTCATACCAGCAATAGCGAGTGCTTTAACAGCTACTGCTTTTGGGGCCAGCACGCCAGCAGAACGACCCACTGGCCAAAATCAGCAGTCGTGTTGCTGCACTGTTAACATGCCAGGAATACCAAGCTTGACGAGCAATCTTGTCACTTCCCTTCTTGCAGCCTCTGTGGCAGGAGAATTGCTCAAAATGTGTCATGCAGTTTTCGAAGCGACATCAGTCAATATCACTAGACCTTCAATGACCTTCAAATGCCTTGCAGCGCACACTATTCTTTTCTCGAAATCTTGTCTGATTGATATTGATTGCATATGCACCTGAGAAGCTGAGAAGCAAGGTGCCCTCAATTGGCAACGGACTTGTTTGGGATCAGATTTGCTTTGCAAACTTCTTTGCTGACTCCCTCAAACCCATAGGGCAGCAACTTTTGGTCAATAGTCTGGTCAGGCCTTTCATGAGGTGGCAATATCAAAGCAAAAATCTGGCCTGAAGTTTGAAGTTTGACAACATTTCATAACATTTCAGATAAGCTTCATAACTTCACAACGCGTTCATAAAAAGGTAAACTCTGCACCGAGTCCGTCCTCACCAGGATCCAAAGCAAGAGCTGGAGATGTCGGTGGCGCTTGCGGTCTTGGCATCACCGTGGGCAAAGCAGTAGCACTTGCGATCGGCAAAAACGCCATTGTTGTAGACCTCCACGGCCTTGAAGTCAATTTATATGTCTTATTTGAAGAAACTGCGGAATTTTGGTTCGATTTGTTTGTACTCTCCTCCTCTATACTCGCCGGACACTTATTGCACCTTGCGACAGAATGGGGTGCATGGACGCTCCGTAGCCAACGTCAAATCTCTACACGACTGAAGAACATGGAGAAGTCGGGCAACGCTATGTGGAGCCGTTTGGCCAAACCATGATGTGAAGGTATGCATCCTGGACAGCCCGACCAAACCCTCCACAGCCCCACCACTTCTCCAAGGCCATTACGCCAAACGTAAGCACTCCATTCAGGCTGACAAGCAAAGCAAATCATGCCAGCCACGTATGTCATTAGTCGTTTCATGTCTTTTCATGCAAGGATCTGCCAATTTCAATCCAAATTGGATGGAATCCGTGGCTCTCAAGAGCAACTTCTTTTCGAAAGTGTCTGCCAAAGTGAAGGCATCATCTTCGGAAAGCTGTATCAAAGCGAGAAAAGATGCGTTCAACAATTCCACCTCAGACTGGAACTGTGCTTTATGCGCATTGAACGCCCGCTGCTTGCATTTCTGTAGGGTTTGGTGATCTTTGGTGTGGCTCAGCCTCTAGCTGAGCCACGTCCAATTCACCTGTGTGTCACTGCGAAATCAGCTGAGATCGTAAGTCGAATCGTCCAGTAGATTCACAGACGTTGGATCCATCCACCATTGGAAGTCATCTGTGTGCGATGAATTGGTAAAATGTGAGTTACTGTTGCAACTTCGAGCATCTTGGGGCTGTTGATTCAGTTTATTCGGAAAAAATGGAAAATAAGATAGATCCTGCATATTCCTGCATGATTTGCATCGCTTATATACTATACTATAGTATACTCCTAAGGTCTGAAGGTCGAATGATGCTTCAGAATAGAACTTTGTTTTCCGCTGTGCAATGATTGTGGAATCCCTAAGCCAAAGTTGAAGCTGCAAGAGGAAACAATAGGCTCCGTACACGACAAACCCAGTGCAATCTTCAGCTATACAGAAAACAAGTGCTGCACAAACTACTCTGAAACTCAGAACAGACTTGTGGTCACACCCCATGGACCTTGCTTGTTTCAAACACTTTAAGATTAATTCGAATATGTCATGCCTGCTCAAGCTCTTTGTAATTGATTTCATTGCATACCAGAAGGATAGTAGTTTGAACATGTCTGAACTTTCCTTTGTTGACTCGTATCATGTTGCACTGTTGAACTGTTTCTCTTGGATCCTCTTGGTGTTACAGCACCGTGACCGAGAACGCAACCTGCTTCATACAACCCTTGAATCAAAAGCACTGCCGCGGCAGGACACTTTCTGAGGTTAAATACTCACAGACTCTTTATGCGGTTGCTCCTTCACTGATGATCAATGTTCATCATGTTCATCAGTTTTAATCTAGTCAGGTTGATGGTTAAACTATTCGTCACCAGGGAACATCATGTCAAAGGATGTCAAAGGTACAAATACACCAGTTTCTTGCCTGCTCTTCTGCCATTCACAAGGCTTCACGAGGCATCAAACTATGACAGAAATGGTGATGCTGCTGGTGTGATGCATCTGAGCACTTTGTGCTGAACATGCCACACTGTCATCCTGAATGCACAAATCAGCTGCTCATTGGCCTGCTACCTGGACTGGGTATGATCACATTTAATATGTGATTGTTTCTTTGATTTAAGTTGCCTGGTTGATCTTTCATGCATTGGCAGGAGTAACAGAAAAGCTTACAGTAGATGGCTTTGATGAGAGCAACTCATCAAAACAGTTGTCCCCTTGGCTTGAGATTGAAAGCATCTTTTGCCAAAACACAGAGTGACCATATGTATCCATATGTGACCATTGTCCCTGACGTATCCGGTGAAGAGCGTTGGAAGAAGTCGAATAGTCACATCTTTGATTCCCAAATCACGCTTCTTTTCGCTTCTTTTGTGCTGCTCTTGTGTCGTGTCTGTGACAATCCGCTCTCATGCAACTAAGGCAAGCCCTCTCCAAGAACTCCAAATAGGATCAAACAAAAGCTTGTAGAAAAGGAGCAGCACCAAGAACATCCAAAGAATTCACGGCAAATCACCTTCCAAGCTCCATGACTTGCCTTTTGGCAACATGGATACCATGGACATCTGCCGACAAGCTGTGCTTTCCACACTGAGATGCTCGTGTAGGTCGAGGTCTTGGGGTTGTTGGGCCCTCCAGAAAATGGAGAAGACTTGACACTTTGCATTTTGGTGTTCCAACCTTGTCGAGTGAAGCGCGCTGAGTGAGCAGCGGTCAACAGCAAACTCTTCTTTGCAACGGTTGAAAGCTGAACTTCAAGGGAAGGACAATAAGAAAAACGCAATTTGGAATGATTCCGGTGGTATACGTATTTTTGTCAATATACAGTAACTATCACAAACTGCTTTCGAATAGCAACACATCTGGAAACCAACCGTGCTGCATTTTGCGGCCTGGTTTTCGACTTTTCTCAGCTCCCTTCTCCCAAATGGAAGTCCAGGCTGTGCTGCTGGTTTTCCTGCAGCATCCCGGTCAAACACAGCTATGCATTTGAATTGAAAATGGGGTGGGGACTCGGTGGGGACCGATGAAATGGAGACAATGAGAATTGGATGGCAATTTTTGGAACTATACAGAACTCTACCCGGTTTTTGGGCAAACCAACATGAAAGGAGAAGATTTGGGCATGGGCTGGAGGCAACATCTTGTGATGGTCCCTCACTCCCTGTTCCACACGGTTCCACAAGTGCCGCGTCTTTTCCACGACTCGCATCTGAACCTTTCATTGGCACCCTACCTCTACTTTGGACCGAGAATCTGTCACTCTAATTTGTTCATGGTAAATACAACAATACATAAAAAAACACTGGCCATGTATAATATTCTTAGCTGGGTATCACCGCTTGTGACAGGCACCGTTCGTCAACCAGTGTCCAGTGTCACTGCACCAAGAAGTCTCAGTGCAGGAAGGCAATCATTCTGCGAACGTCTTCAGCTTGTGGCTAGCACACAGCTGAAATTATTCTCTTCAAAGTCTTCACATCATATTTACAACTACGTACAAATATATATGTATGATTATGTATGTATATCATGATCTACATATATACATATATAGTCACCAGTGACTTCTTGAAATATGTACACTCAGACTCATTCATTGGCCTTGAATTGCACTTGTTGCCCGGCGCTGTTCACCAGGCTGTCAAGAGCAACGCAAACTTCGTGTGCGTTGGCTTTGGCTCCCAGCTTGGGACGTGGGAACAAATCCTAAGTGAACAGAACCCACTTCTGAGAGTTCAATGGGAAGGCCCCAAGCTCTGCAATACCACTCCATGGCTGAAACCAAGATTGAGACTAGTCATGACTAGTCACATGTCCAACCATTGCAACGAAACAATAGTTTGTCTGGGCACCCGGACAGAACCAAGTTCGCAAACCGGGGAATTGGGCTGCAGAATTCTCCAAAGCATTGCCTCCGAGATCCAATGATTCCAACCTCACGTGGAACAAATCAGTCAGGCCCTGTCTCACAAAGCCCATAGAAACTAAGCGAATGACTTGGGCAGCAATGGCAACAGCGAAGCCAAGGCCTCCCAACACAAGGACTGTGACACCACGTTCCCGTTGCCTCTGTGGAGCCCTCAAGTTGCAATGATACTCTCTCTGCATCATGGTGCCCAAAAGGCCTCCACCGAAGCTGGCCCAAGATTGTTTCCGCGAAGGTTCAAACGACGCAGCTTGGATGGGGAAGGGCCATGTGCTTCAATTGCTGCAATCAATGCAACCATTCCTGCAATGCACACAACACCACCAAACAATGCCAGCTCCAGCATTCTTCTGCTTGCAGTAGAATCCTTATGATCCTTAAGCTTGGAAATTGCGTTTGTGATGAATCACTCCATGTTGGTTAAGAACACCACAGTATCTGGGCACATCATGTTGCAGCTCCTAGCTGCTCTAGCTCCAACAGGCCATCTATTTTTGTCTATTCTGTAAGAATCTGTCCTTCATCGCTTATGTTGTTGCCACCCAAGTGCAAGCGTTGCAAGCTGCTGGCCAGGCTGGGCCACGCAGCCGCAAGCGCCACAGCAATCGCATCACCAAGTTCTTGGCCCCCAAAATCCAGAACTCCATCGTCAGGTCGAAAGACCTGACGAAAAACCACCACGACTGGGCGACCGGAAGCTGGAAGGCGACTGGAACTCCATGGCTTTTAAAGTGCGTTAAAAAAGCAAGGGCTGAAAACTCACGGTTGCTTGGATAAGAAGAGAAACACTCTTCATCCAATATAGTTTGTTGCTAGTTACTAATTGCTTCAGGAGTGTTTGTCGGTATTCAGCTCAATTTGAAGACTCCTTTCTCCTGATCCAAATTTGGGATACAAGCATGTCAAAAGAAAACCTGAGCTCTCTTCACTACGAACATCATTATAATTATTCGCATGTTTTTGTTCTGTAGTCTCCTGGTTCGCTGATCATCCCACACTTGAATGGAACACGTTTTGCCGAAAGCACCCACAACCAGTCAAATTCCCATGCAACAGGCGTTTTTCAGTCACTTCTTCAGTCACTTTGCTTCAGCTGAGTGATCTGAGCGCCTTGCATCCCGAATAAATGACTGCTCTTGGCTAAGGAGAGCAAGACTCTTGGATTCCTTGGATTGTCCACTGGATTGTCTCGAGAATTTCCTGGACTCCTTTGATTTCCTTGAGATCGAGATCCTCGAGGTTCGGCGGCGCTTCGACATGGACATGCGAGACTGGGAGAGTCGTGCAGCTGCTCGGAAGGACTGAAGCCATCCAGGCACTTCCGAGGCATGGGACATGTCGGAAAAAGCTGGGACAGCTGGGACAGCTGGGAGCCAAATTGCTGCGATATGCTGCGATGGCCCAGTCACACTGCCATCTTTGGCCCTTGTTCTTAGGATGCTCAGCACTAGCAGCATCACAGCTCCAGTGGGTCCTGAAGTGTTCCTCCAATTCTTCCGTCTCCATGTGTTTCGAGCAGACCTAGATAGACCTAGCAGAGAAATCACATAAAAACACTTGGAACTAAGATGACCCAACGTAAAAATACGTAAAGCATGATGAAACAAATCCTTCCCTACATACACTTGGAACTGTTGATTGGTCAATGGATTCATCAGAAAACCACTTTCCTGAGCACTGAACTTCCCCGCGAGCCGCATGGACTAATCGCCAATCTTTCAAAGCTAGATCTCCTGCAGAAATCAGCTGGATCCTAGCTCTGATTTGGATGTCAATTCTGGGCGTGTCCGAAAATGGGATAATATATGTACACCCATTTTGATACAGCAGGGAAATGATGAACCGGTGGATTTAGAGGTATAATATGGTACTGTATAATTACCCTTATATCATTTTCAGACAAACCCATACCTTTTAATCCTTTCAAGCATTTTACACTGCACTTCTTGAATCTCCTTGCGAAGGTATGGACAACCGCAAACGTCGCAAGAACGACATCCGCTTCGATGTGTTAGATACATTTAGATTTAGATAGATTTAGATACAGTAGTTATATTGATTGGTTTCCTAAAATTGTGGTACCCCCTTGAAAACTGAAACCCATGGTTTTGATTGGTTTTGGGGATCCCCCATTTTAGGAAAAAAGAAGGATCATCATATACCATCATTAAACTTTGCAAGGCCACCTCCTCCCCAATGGCAAAAACTCCCAACTGAGCTTCTGGCGAACGGAAAAGCAACGGCTGGGTGGAAAACCACGGCCTGAAGACCAGGAAACTGTTTTGGAAGTCCCAAGAGACATCAAACTTGTTACAATATGGAATTGTCTGAAACTCATGGGAAACCCATTGAAAAGCACCGAATCCCATGGTTCATTCTTAGTTTTCGATTCAAATTAAATTTTACATCACTTTGTTCCGCATTTTCAGACAAACCCATCTGTTGATGAGGATGTTTGATGATGTCCTGCGTCACTGCTTCCCGTTCGTTGAAACTATGAATGATCTCACATCACTCAAACATATCATAATCCCTGCCCTGGACTTGTATTAAATTAAACACCAAGTCTAAAACTGAGGGGGATAATTAGGATTAATATGGATCAATGAGGAACCAATATCGATATCATTGGATTTCTGATCTACTGTAATTAAAGCACTTTACATACTCTACATATGTTCATTTTTTTCAACATCATTGAGTTGTTTGGCCACAGTTCAACCTTCAACCAAACTCTTCGGAGGTCCGTTCACCCCAGCACAATGTGTTGGTGACCCTTGCTGTGGGGATGGCTTTGAAAAACCCAATATCAATTGGATATTCAGGTCTGTTTATGTGTTTATCAATCCGAATATTGCAGTTCCACCGAACATGTACAGCAAGCAACATGCTAATATATTTAAGCTTATCTATATGTTCTATTATTGTGTCACAGTATCCAAAATCAATCACAAATCACTGCCAACAATTTGGTAGCTCTGCTCCTGCACACTTGGCCCAAATACCCAAATGAGTAAGACATATTAAGAAATAAATAAGGCTCTGGCAGACAATTCTGCAGCTGATTTGCTTAAGCTTTCAAGAACCTGGTCACTCCCACTGGAAATTCATGAGAAATCCGCTGTGCGGTGTGTCTGTTTTCTGGCAAAGCCTCTGGATTCGAGTTTCCACACACAAAAAAATGTGGCTATCGCACTGCAGCACCATGTCTTTTTCATTCCTTTACCCTGTACACTCCAAGCCCTTGTTCTGAATTCTCGCACACAACGCTGAACTACGCTGGCGCTGAACAGTGGGAGCCGACTCCCATGGGAAAACAAGAGCAATCAAATGCCGAAAGATGTGAACTTGGCACTGCCTGAAAAGTTGCCATCAGAAATCGTCAGCTTGCTCAGATTTGACAACTGAGTGTACTTTATTGACAGAGGCCAGTGCCAAACTCTCTGTCACAGAAACAGTTCAGCAATGCCACGTTGGGCATTACACGCCTGTACAATTCTGTACAAGCACAACCGCAGACCGCTCGTAGTTTGCGGTGTCTTTGCGACCTGACATATCAAAGGCTGGAACCTTATCGTGTAAACTTCTACAAATCCTTCATAGATGAATCTTTCATGTTATATATGTAAATCCCCCAGCAAAAACAAACAATGTACGGCTATTTTAGACTATTTCAGTATAATTTTATGTGTCTATCCTTTTGTTGGAATGATACAAGAACCCTTGAGGTCCCAACATAGGCAAATAAGAGGCACATGCTGCACCTGTGCGCATGGAGCCTTAGAAGATCAAGGGATTCACATCCCATCGCCATCTGTGGGGCTTTCCATAAATTTGGATACCCAAAAATGGATGGTTTATAAGGGAAAATTCCCCATTAAATTAAATTGAATGATTTAGGGGTGCCCCATTTTAGGAACCCCCCAGATAAACAATAGGAGATGTAGCTGACAAGTTATCTTCATCAAACATAAAATAGATTGTACTACATACTGACTGTATGGACGATCAAATTCGCAGCACGCCTGCAATGATCTGCATCTAAGTGGCAATTCCCACACACAACAGCCATCTGCAACTTCGCCCACTAATATACTTCCTCTGCACTTGCAACTGGTTTTACGACCCATCGGCCCCTCTTGTCTGCAAGTCTTCAATGATAGCACATTCATTTGCCATGCATTTCCAGGTCCTCGAGTCCTCAATCATTATCTGAATCATCTGGCTCTGAGGCCACCTCAACAAATGGAGTGCAGATAGTGCAGAAGATTTCAGGTGACGGCAGTCGCACCAGTTGCAGTTGAGGTACGGAGATGTTCTTCAACTCCATCCACCTCACAACACCAAAACAAAGAGCATCAAAGCCTGTGGAATCTAATGAAACGCGAAAACAGTGACGACCTGTTCAACCACCGTTCCCATAATTCGCATCAAACATGTAGAATGGTAGAGTAAAACATAGTAACATAGTATGACTAGTATAACTCATAACCATGTTTATAACTATAACCCAATATTATCTATATATTCTATATATCATCAGCCCGTTGGCAGGTAGAACCAAGTTTTTTTTTTGGGGAAAGTGCTGCTTTTTTCCAAGTTACGTCTGGATATGTTCGTCATCATCCAGATCATCACCTGGGTGAAGATGGTCAAGTCAAGGCTACCAATGGACCCATAGATTTGAGTACCCTCTGGTAATTTAACATAGCTATTGAAAATTGCCATTTATAGTGGATTTACCCATTAAAAATAGTGATGTTCCATAGCTATGTTAAATTACCAGAGGGTATTTTCTTTTTTATACCTCTTTGTATGGTTGATTTTATGTCATCTTACTTTTTCAATTGATATAATATAATGTTCTTTAAAACAACATATCATAAAATAAATGAACAAATCCATCTTAGTCATCTTACTTTTTCAATTGTTAATATAATGTTCTTTAAAACATATAAAATAACATAAAGTCAATTAATAAATATATTAAAATCATCCATTTGATGTGGGAGTCCAAATGAATATAACAAACTTTTGACCCCTCACATGGCAGCGGTGCGGCCAGAGCACAGGTCATGTCGGTGAATCCAAACTGCTCATAGAAAGGGACGGCCTCGTCCAGGGCACTCAACGAGATCCTCGGCTTTCAATGGATGCCATTGGCTGATGCCAAACCACCTCAACACATCGGCTTTGTCCGGAAAAAATTGGGGATGACCCCCAATTCATGGTTACTTTGGTGGAAATCTGAGTTTCTCAACCAGCGGATTTTGATTTTGCACTTTTACTATTGAAAAAAAGAGCAGCTGGTCCACTAGGGATAAATCTCTGCAACAAGCTGCAACAAACTTGGGCAAGCAATGTACATGTCATGAGAAGTACAGCCATTATAGTCTCGGTTTGTCTGAAAATAATGTATAATCCGAGCCAAATCCTGTGGTTTATCAATGTTTATCACATTCCATGACATGGCCATATGATATGCCCCATTTTCAGCCTTTTCAGCGGAACAAAGGTTCAACTTGATGAAACATCGGCTGAGTTGCCAAGCACAGGCAGAACGTGGCAACAGTGAGCACTTCTCAAGCGCCCATTGCATGAAGTGCTTGCCGTAGCCTTTCCCACGACTCCTGGTTGAGATCAGGAAGTTGGCTGTTCTCAATAGGGCAATCAATATTTCATCTTTTCAACGCTGAAGATATGATGTAAGGGGTGAAATGTGTAACAGTGTAACAGTAAGTAAAGCTAAACATAAATTCACAACAATCCTATCGCTGCAACACCCAAGTCAACAACTCCCACAACATATCTGCAAAGAAAATCACTCAAAAACAGAGAAGTTTGATCTCCTGGCAATCACTGCAATCCGCGCAATGTGGAACTCTGCGCTTTTGCTGCTCAGCTGATAGCACATGAAACCGCAGAAGCGGTCTGCTGTTTCGGAAGCTGTCTGGTCGATTAGAAGGCACAGTGACCAGCCTGCATGTTTCCAGGTCATGCAAAGCTGTCAGCTGCACATTCTCATTCGAAATCTGAAAAGGACTGCCTCAAAGGATGGTTTCTGTTAAGTTTATCATAGACATTCCAGAACACAAACTGCAGCCAGGACTGAAAAGCTAGGAAAAGAATGGAAAAGACATGAAAAGATAACAAATTGATCACAATTCACTTTAGCAAATCAGAGATCAATCATATATGTTGCCTCGCTCACGGGACTTTTGGACACTGTCTTCCCCGAAGAAGGCTTCAGCAGAGAGCTGTCGGACTTTTTCCAACATGGTCTCCACTTCATCGGTGATGTCCTCCAGCCTCAGTGGACTTTTCATGGACAGTAGAC